CATTATAAAGAACACTCACTTCTCCAGGCTGAACACCCCCAACTCTCTCAGCTTTGCAACGTCATTGTCAGGGCTGAGGCAGATGCATTCCCCTTTGTTAAAACCATTTTTGTGCAATATAAAAATGAGAGGAGCTTGGTGCCTCTGGTGTTTTCTCCTGGAGGAAGATGTCTGGAGCAGGGCAGGCTCAGCCAGTCCTGCCCCATGGCACCAGATGAGCCCAGGATTTGCTGGACTTTGCACAAGTGTGCTGAGTGAGTTCAAAGCCAGGCCACCCCCAGCCACTCTGCTAAGGAAATTGCACTTTTATTTGGAACCAAATGGAATGAAGGCAATACAATTTCACCAGCCCCATTACAGCAAGAGGCTGGAATTGCTGGGGATGTGTCACTTGAGCATGACAGAGCCCTGAGCTTCTTCATCCAGGAAAAGTCCAGCATGGAAAGGCCAAAGAAAGGAATCCCTTCCAGCCCCTCTTTGCAGCTACACACAGAGAGGGTTTGAGGAGCAGAGAACACCCAAGAACCAGCAGCCACGGCTGCCTTAGGAACTGCACTCACACCCAGGGTCATCTCTGTGGAATTTATTGTAATTTTCTCATCAGTTCTACAGTACAAAAGCATGCAAAAAATAGCCTCTCTCTTCATGGTACATATTTACAGTGCAACAGCCATGTGCTGTCACAGTACTGAGTGCATTTACATCATGCTGGAATCATAGCAGAGCACATACAGGGGGAGAGGTTCAAGTGCAACAAGAGACTGAAATACCAACAGAACAGGCCTAGAAATCAAAAAGAGCAGCAAAATTACAGCACAGAGGATCTGCATTGTACCCTCAAGAGTTGCAATTCATGTTTTCTTGAATTTACACCTTTTTTTGGGAGCACTTTGATTGATGGCTTGTGGATACTGACGGAAGGTCTGGGCTCTGCCAGCAGCAGCTCTGAGCATACATGGCTTTTCTTCAGGAAGGGAAGGAGCAAGGCAGTGACTGATGAGCTGCTTTCCTTCCCTCATCCCATGGAAGGCTGCATTCAGAGCAACAGGGTCATGGCATAATCCAGGTTAATTCAGCTTGGGAGGGACTTGAGCTGAGCATGGACTTGTACAGGAGGATCTGAGCCAGAAAGGAATGCCTTGCACTGCTTTGCTCAGCAAACTCCACTACAAATGTGCACTGCTAAAGCAGAGAAGTTTGGCACCTCATCCAGGTTCTATTTCCATACAAACCCTCCACTCTGCTTTCCAGTCTCCCTGCTGCACAAGGGAAAAACTTATCTTCCCTTGAGCTCCCAGGCTCAAGGGAAAATAATGACATGTATTTTGACAGATGGATGTCACTGGTTTTTACTCTCTGAATGGAAGAGTGAAATTCCTGGTTATCCACACAGTCTGTACAGTCAACAGCCACAGAAATGGCTCTATTTGCCTTTTTGTATTTGCCTTTTTAAGTGCAATCTCTCACTGGTTGTCAAACTGTTGAGATGAAGCTTCTAACCCCAAGTTTAGAAGCTATCTATGGATAAAATAGCAGCATCAGCACATGCATAAAAGTAAGAGTCTTAGAACAAAATTAAAAATTAAAGCCTTAAAAAAATAATCAAAACATCAAGTTGTGAACTTGTGCTCTGTAGTTTTCTAAAACCCCTCCACCAACATTTTCCATCCTAGGAACCTGTCCCAGTTTGACTCATTTTCAGGAAACTAAAGTTTAAAAGCATCAGGTACACAAGAGATGAGTGAAGAGAAAGGAATGAAATAAAATAAAGCCTAAACCTGCCACTCTTTTCAGCTGGAGAACGTGGTCCATGGGTGCAGGACTGTGTGCAGCTGATGGGATGCATTCCCAGCTCTTTGGGAAGAGCAGGCCTGGCAGATGTCCCTGGAGCACTGAGCTGTTCTGTGTAGCAGCATATCCCCTTGCCCCAGAGCTCTGTGCACATAAAGGGAATCTCATGCAACTGCTCTGGCCGTGGCTGGGGGCAGGACTGACACCATGCAGAACTGAGGGATAAGAGGAAAAGGGAAGAGAAAGAAAGGTATAGGGAGGGACAGTGTTCACTCCAACAGCAAGATCTCATCCTCATTTAACTGATATCCAAGGACATTTTGCCATCAACTCCATACCAGGAGCAGCACTCCTGATGTACACAAGTGCTTTATCTGTGCATTAAATAAAGCAGTTGCCCTCCGATATAAAACCCGTCTCTCAAGCCAGTTTTCATTCCTGATGCTTGAAGTAGGGAATGCAAAAACACAAGGGAAAAGTCTCTGGGGGGAAAAGGACCCTTGAGACAAACAAACCCCCGTTCCTCAGCCGAGACCCCCGACAGAGCCCCGAGGTGAAGCACAAGTGGAGAGCAAGGCACACACGGAGGAGCCAAGGACACCCTGGCCGAGGAACGCGGCCACGCTGCCCCGAGGCTCGCTCTGCTCCGATCCTCCTGCCTGGCTTTCTGGCTTGGTCCGATTCTGGTGGGTTTAGTCTGGTTCTGTTGTTGCTGTGCAGGCCCCGGGCTGGGTGATGAGGGCGATGTTCCACGCGACACCACGAAGGGCTGGAGCTCGTGCGCGCCCAGCCCGCGGCGGCCGGGCGGCCTCAGGACGCGGCCTCGTCTTCGCACACATCGGGCAGCTCCGGGTCCCTGGCTGCTTCTCTGCTGCCTTGTGTTCTGCATGGGTGGCAAGGAAATAAAAACATTGTAGGCACACAGCAAGGCAAGGGGTGTTTTTTTTTCCAGCCCTGGTCAGTAATACTGACAGGGAATAGCAATGAAGCAGCCTGTTGTGCTGGTACCACATAAACACCTCAGCACGATGCCCTGCAGTGATGTGCAGCTTGTGCCTGGACACCTGCTTGGCCTCTGCTCCCAAAAACTGAGCTCTCCACTTCCCTGGATGCCCTTCTCCACGAGGAGGTATCTGGTTCTTGGGGAAAGTTGTGCAGATCAGCAGCATGCTTTCCAAATGATCTAGTTTGCATTTGGAGACTTCTGGCTTGCTCTCCTTTAATGTGACTTTTTTGTAAAGATCAGAGCGATGGGTTGATCTCACAACTGCTTCTCCAAAGTGTCGCTGTAAATGGCAGTAAAATTAAATGTTTCTACCAGAACCCAGTTTTTCCTATACAAAAATGGTGTGATTTTGATTTCTGTGAGTTTGCCTGGTCCCCAAAACAGCAGTTCCCAAAACCTGAGAGCAGCAGCCCTAGAATCTCAGCCAAGGTCACTTACTCGCATTGCACATACACCACAGTAACTTCAGCCTTTTTCTCCTACCCCTAACTTTTGATGTTTTCTCATGTAGAAGCCTTGAGCTGTACTGCACTTCAGGGCATCCCTGAGGAGCAACACCTCCACCCAGCCCAGCCACCCCCAGACAGCATGTGACTGTCACTGGATGGGGGACAGGGAACACCTCCAGGTGCCACCCACAGCAGGAACCGATCACAGGCAGATGACTTCACCTAAAACACCCATTTCTCCATCATAAACATATCCACAGCACAAAGGTGATCATCTCCAAGCAGTGGTGTCTCCCAGCCTCGCTCACACCAGTCTGGCTGTATCATGGAATGGTTTGGGTTGGAAGAAGACCTTGAACATCATCTTCTCCCACCCCCTGCCATGGGCAGGGACACCTTCCACTATCCCAGGGTGCTCCAAGTCCTGTCCAGCCTGGCCTTGGGCACTTCCAGGGATCCAGGGGCAGCCACAGCTGCTCTGGGTACCCTGTGCATTCTGTAGAACCTGCTGGACAAGCCAGCTCGGCAGTGTCTGTGCTGCTGCACGTGCCTGGAGCACACAGTGTTTGGGGGGAGTGGGCTGGGGGCTCTGGGGGTATTTCCTGGCTAGGAACAACACAGAGTACACACAGTGTGTCCTGGGGTGACTGCTCCCTAAAGCAGGACACAGGGCTAGCCCATTTTTTGAAAAAAAAACAGAATTAATCAAAAATCCCATTCTCTTCTCCACTTCAGCAAAGCCCTGCAATAAACCTGACCTTGAACCTATGGATCATTTCCCTGCAGGGAAAGCTGAGGAACAGCCCTGTCTTCAGTGCCTGTCATCCCCCTCTTCAAATGATTGATCACCTCATTTAGCAGCAGAGGCTCTGCTCTGTGGCAGCTCAGCACAGCCCAGTCTCTGTCTGGCACATCCTGCTGATTCCTGCTCTTGTCAGGGGTGTCTTTGGTGCTGTCCCTCCACTCTGAGCAGCCTCTGCCTCTCCAAGCACCTCAGTGTCAGGGTGAGAGGACCCCCACAAACACAAGCAAAAAAGCTGGGGCTGCCTGTGAAGCAGCAGAGATCCAGTACCAGAGCTCCTGTGCTCGTGCTGTGAGGCCTGAGGCTGGATGGGAATCTCCAGTAAATAACGCTTGCTAAAAAATTAGATTTTATCTCTCCTACATTTTTTAAGCCCCAGGGGAACAAAGCCTGCTTTGTGCAATTACCCAGGAGAGCACATGGCTGTCACCCACAGCAGCTGTGAGGGGATCACAGCCACTGGGGATTCACACCAGTTTCGTGTTCAGCAAGGAATGAGCCACACTGCCCTCCCAAACACAGGAGCACGGGACAGGGATGGTGTGGGACAACCTGCACAGCACAAATACACACCCCTGGCAAGTGCTCAATTCCTCCATTGAGTCCCCATTCAAATAATCTGCCCTCATGGGGGTGCTGAAGTCCCTTACCCCCAATGGAAAATGCAGCAGCAGCAGCAGGCAGTGGCACCAGCTGTCCCCATCTGCCTCTGCCTGCCTGCTCCTGGCTATTTTTGGAGAATCTCTGCAAGTCCTTCCTCACTCAGAGCAGGTGACATCCTGGCTCTGGCTCATCCATTTGTGTCAGAGCAATGAACCAGGCCAGGCAGAGTCTCCAAAGTGCTGGAGCTGCTCCCAAGGGTATTTAGAGCTGTGTGGTTGTCTCCCAGTCTCTCAGCCCAGATGTCCTGCCTGACCACTGGATCCTAGGACTTCCCTAGAGGTGTCTGTAAGCAGCTCAGCACGGTTTGCATTAATGTTATTTTGTTATTTAATAGAATTAACTGGACCAACACTCTCCAGAAGGGTCTGTGCAAGTGGCTGGACAAGTGACCATGTTTTGATGAAGTCCTGGCTGGGGTGGTCACCTGGAACAACCAATTTTTGGTCTGCCCAGAGCCCTCCCAGGGCAGAAGCACAAGGGAGTAGTGGAGCATCTAGAGCAGAGATGGCTCCAGCCCTTTCTTTTCCATAACCACTAAATATTAAACTCAAATTACAAAGCTCAGCCTTTCCCAAATTCTGTAGCTATTTCCTCTGCAAATGTGGGGCTGAGCACCGGCTCCTGCTAAAACCCAGCTGGTTTTTTTCACCCCTCCCTCCCTGAAAGCAGCTGAAACACCAAAGAATCACAATTAGAAATAATAATAAAAAGCATACATAAACATTAGTGTCACACACACAGAATGACTGCAGTAAAACTGCTCCTACAGGAAGGAAGGATGGAGCCAAATGCTCTCACTACCACACAAATCACACAGGCTGAGGAGGGGACAAGGTTTCTACAGCACCCAGGGGAAACACGGACATGGAATTACCTTAAAGATGGATGCAAATACACAGATGTGTTTAAGAGGAATCTGTCCCTGAGAACAAAACAGTGAGACAAAGGAAGAAAGTGATCATGGAGACAATGGCAGCAGGTGAAGGAGCTTGTGTTTCTGTGCCTCTCCAGCCTAGAGTGCAGAGTGGAATGGGGATGGAACATCAGCCACATTTAGCTGAAGGACAGATGAGGAAGGGCACTGGAGCACTCCTACAAACCCACTGCAGCCCCTAGCACTGCTGAAAGCTCCAGATGGCTTCCAGCACACTGCTGCTGCCCAGCTGGGCTGCCCTGGGCCGTGCCATTTGGCACCTCTGGCCTTTGGTGTCCTGTCAGCACCCTGTGCAATGGGGCAGAGCCCCAGGAGCACCGGGCCCCTCGCTGGAGGCACCTCCTGACAGGGCATTCCAGAGGGAAATCCTGTGCCACAGCCCCATGATCCCACCTACCTGCATGTGGGGCATGGCTCTTCCCACAAAACATGCAGTTCTGTCTTTGGGAGAAGCTGTTTTTGCTTGGAGACCTGGGCCAGACACACTTTTTAAACCTTATTTTCTCCCTTGGCTTCCTTGTGCCTAACCTACATGCTTAATATGGCCCTAAGGGCAGTGACAGCCCTTTTGGTCCCTTTTTGGGAAGGCTGGAAACAGGGTAGGCTTTTAAAATACCAACTGATCCCCCACAGAGAAGCTGACAACCACATTTCATCAATAGTATTAGCAGCCATAACGGGCAAGTAAATTTGGTCTGTCAAAACACAGCAATTAATTTGATAGGTAGTAGCTGCAATAAATGAGAGCAATAAACTGTGGTGAAGCCAGTGCTGACTCAATTAGGAGAAATGTGGAGAAGGCAGAAGAAAAGCAGCAAACACTGTTACCAGAAATCCAGAACTTAGCTGTGAATGCTGAACTGGGCTGAAAAAATACTCTGGAGCTGGAAAATGAGAAAAGATCAGCTGCTTCTGCAGCCACCATTAATGATGAGCATTGAACCTGGCCACAGTCTGCAGGATCTGCAGGATCTGCATGAATCACTGCCTCTCCTGGGAGATCCTGCATGAAAGGCAGGATCCAGTGACACCTGGCCACTGCCCAGGTGACAGCTGGCAGCACTCACACCATTCTAGGTGTGCAAAACAAGGGCTGTTAAATGGGGCAATTTTAGTTCCCCTCCTCCTGCTGAGTGTGTCTGCAATGAACATCTGCCTTTTAAACTGCTCACTGCTGATAAACAGAGCAATAAATGACAGCCAGGAGAGGATTCACTTCTTGCAGGCCTAAAGAGTGCTAAAAGAACTTTCTCTCCTCCCAGCATTAACTTAAGAACTGTTTCATATCAGTGGTGTCTTAATGGTGTCAAAGCTACAACAGCAAAGCCCTGCTGCCACCACAGACATGTGCACAGAGCATTTCCAGGAACAGAGCCTAGCACGCTGTGTAGGTAATGCAGGGAGAAATTAAAAAAAGATTCAGCCACATGATTTAGTTTCCTCCTCTCCAAATCCCAAAGAGTGAGCTTGAAGGACAGCTCCATTTTAAGAGTCATCAATTAAGCATCAAATACCAGAAAGCTCTGGTACCAGAGCTCAGCTCAGCTGCCAGAGGATTTCCTACAGAGTATATCCTCAAAAATGGCACAGATGTAAGATGCTTGAAGCAGCAGCGAGTGGGGCTCTGACAATTTCACATGCAGCCTAATTAAATAAATTGAATGTGAAACTGGAGTATTCTAATTGCTTTCCTTTTTTCTTCTGTAGAAACACAGTAAGTTATTTCCTACCTACAACTAGAAGGAGATGCAATATTAAAAAATCTGATTTATGTCCCTCTGAAGACATTGCCACTGGGGAGAAGGAGCTCTGTGGAGGAGAGCTTGGGAATGTGTGGCTCATTTTTCTCTCAGCTCCTCCTGGGCAGCCACATGTCCAGAGCACAGTGATGGCTGCAGGCACTGCTTTTCTGGCAAGTCCCAATTTTGGGGTCCCCTGTCCAGCTACAAAGGTGATGGATATGTAGAAACTCTGCAGAGCCTTACTACAGCAATATTATCTGCTCCTGCAAGATCTTAAAACTTTACAGAAATCCAGACTCATTTGAAACTTATTTTAACACAGCTCTGTTCATAACACTGGCACTTCATATGTGTAGTAAGGGTGTTTTTTCTAGGGAACAACCTATATGAATTAAGAAGTGGATGAGCTTGGTATCTACTCTGTTTGCCCCTGAGGAAGTAACACTGTCATCAAGAGATAACTCACTGAATAATGAATATTTCCCATTTAGCCATGGTTCAGTTGAAATGAGCATCATTAGATCCAACACATCTATTTCAATTTGAAGTTATTTTCATTAGATTCAGTCAGTAAAGCGTTTTCCAAAGTTTGAAATAATAATAATAATAATCCATGTGCCTTAAGAAGAGCAGCCCTGCTGTAGTGTTTAATATACAGCACCATTTGCTGGAGTTTTCAAGCATCTCAAATTAGAATGGAACAGGTCCCTTGGAAATGGGCTCAAGGTGACCACCCTGAATTATCAGTTCAAGCAGGGCTTGAAAAGAATTTCTGCCTTGCTCCAAGTTACCTGTCTGTGACAGTGGGAAGAATAAAATACATTTCTCTTCAAATTTAGTAAATGTTTCCCCATTTCAGAGCAATGCAATGCAGTGACCAGGAATGATAATGAAGATACAGGTAGGGGTGGGTGTCCAATTAGCAATAACTAATTTGGAAGGCATTGAGTGAAGAGAAACAAATCAGGGCAGATCCCTTGTGTTAAGATGGCAAAGGAGCTGTGACTGCCATGCTCCAGATGTGTCCCACAGCAGCACTCATGAACAGGGTGTTTGAATGCCAAACTGGAATCTGGCCATGGACACCAAGACAAAGTCCCCAGTGGGCAGCTGGGGACTTAGAACATTATTATCCTTAATTGAGCTGAGCCCTTAAATCCCCACACACCTGTGAGAGACAGAGAGACTCCTCTGTGCTGTCAGTGGTGCAGTGAGACTCAGCACAACCTCGTGGGAGTCTGCTAGGAATGGTACTGGGATTCTGGGAGGAAAATAATCATTTTGGGACAACACAGCTTTGTTGTCAGCCACAGCCTCATAGATCCTGTGGGGTGAGAACTTTATTTATAAAAAAATAGTTGTCCCAGATCAGGGTGTTATATACTGGACTGATGAGCCAGAATCCTCGCTCTGAAATGAATCAGTGACAAAAATGAGGGAGAAAGAGTAAGAACCAAGTAAAGGACAGAAGAATTCTCTCCCCATCCCTGTACACACCATCATGGTTAAAAACTGCTGATTAATCTATTAGTCATAAAGACTTCTAGTCCCTTTTTAATCCCAATATAGTAATTTATACCCAATCTCCAAAGCATCCCCCTGCAATATGATCCACTATCTCATTAACTGGAAGAAAACTGTGTGAAAAAAATACTGTATGTGTTCTCAAGTGAAAAAGCAATTTCAAAGTGTTTTCTTTTGTCTGACCATGATGTCTCTGCCCAGACTTGGGCCCCAGACTACAGGTAAAATCCCATCATCTCATTTTGAATTAAAATACCTACATAAACTGCTCATTTGGTACCATTTCTGTTGTCCATAGAAAGGAGAGAAGAATTAAACCCTCCAATATATATCCAAACTAGACTTTAATTAAACTTATTTTACTTCACCACTCTCTAATGGATCTTTGATCACAGCATTATAAATGAACAGGTGAAAGAAACAGACTCAAATTTAGCACCTTACATGTGTTTAGGCCAAACCCATCTTCCAAAGAGAACTGCATCTATAAAAGAGTTTTTAGGCTGTAGTAGTACACTGTATTTCAATCTGAGAGGACCTGAGGTAGATTTTATCCCCAGTGGTTGATGCAGAAGGGTGTTCTGACTTTAAATCCTACAGGAAAGATTTGCAAACTGCTTCTCCCACCCTCCCTCCCTCCCCACAGGCCAGGGGTGGCTGTGGGTACCTACATCAGCAGGTTCCCTGGAGCAGACATGGATCTCTCCTCCCGCCTCGTCTGCACCTCGAAGGGATTCCCAAAGGAGCGCTTCCTCAGCATGGCCTTCACCAGGATCTTTGGGGAAGAGAACAGACCAGTGAGAACAGCAGGCCTGGCTCCTGGAAGCTGGTTCAAAGGAGTAACAACAGCTCCTTTAATAATTCAGCTGACATTTTAACAGAGCTGCAGCAGAGAGCACGGAACCCACAGAACAGCTGCTTGAGAGAGTCAGGCTGCTGCAGTTCTCAGACACAAGAAGTTCACCCTGGGTCAAAAGGCCAAGATTTCATGCCAGCAACACACCTGTCCCCTCTCCAAACCTCCTCCACCAGCTGGAGGCTTCAGCAGAGCCCCCAGCTCAGAGGATGTGGTGGATTTCACACGTACCACGGCTGGCAGGCTGGGGATGGTCTTCACGGAGTTCTTGACCTCCTCCTCGGTGACCTCCACCACGGAGCAGTGCTCCTCCTCCAGCGGCAGCGGCTCCGCGCCGCCCCTGCTCAGCCACGGGTGCACCTGCACGGGGGACACACAGCTCTGGGCTGGGACAGGAGTGGGGCACAGGGCTCACTGCAGGGCCGTTTGTCAGCACTGCTCCATCTCCCACTGCTGCAGATGGGTTTTTAGCCTTGCAAGTGGCTGCAGTCTGGCTCAGGGCTGTCACACCTGCTGCCACCAACCAGCACCATGGCAGACTCTGAATCAAGTTTGAAACACTTTGAAAACCTGAGTTATCTGGAGCATTTTCATTTTTTTTGTCTTGCATGCAGCAGAGCAAAGCCCCCTTTCCTTGCTGGCTCTGATGGGATGGGTTCTTGGCTGTGAACAGGAAGAAAGCCCTGTCCGAGGGCATGGGCTGAGCAGAGCCCAGCCTGACCCATCCTCAGCATCCAAGGCAAGTCCCCAAGCACTCCAGCCATCTTCTGTGCACAGCCAGGGACAAGGGCCAGCTCTGCTCCTCTCCCCACAGGCTCTTACAGTGTGCCTGCAAGGGCTGTCAAGTGAAATCCCACAAATACAGCTCCAAACCTGGCTCTGGCCTCCTGGGCATGGAGGGAAGGGATTTCACGATTTTTTCCTGAAGATCAGCCTTTCTACTGTCAGCCTTGGTGGCAATACTGGAGCTGGCTTGGGACACAGCAAAGCAGAGCTCGCCCTGTAGAGCATGCTGATTGATCTCCATGGAAATTCTGAGATCCTCCAGCAGGTCTAAAGCCTTGGTGAGGGGTGACAGGAGGACAGCAAGCCCATGCAAACCCAGAATGAAAACACAACCTGTTAAGCACTGTGTTCTGCCAGTCCTGTTCATTCCTTCTGTTATTAAACACCTCCCAAATAATGGTGATAGAAACAAATGTGCTGCCTTGAGGCCACGGGCCACACAAGGAGCAGAGGAGGAACACGCATCCAGTCCCTGGAACGCACATCCAACACTGCCAGCCCAGGCTCTGCAGCAAGCAGCTCCCCTGACAACGTTGATTCTCCCAGGGACTCGCTGAGATCAGCCAGCTTTTAAGTAATTTTCATTTAAATAAGTAAACAAGAAAGCTTTTATCAATATTCCCCAAGCAAGAAGCAGTGATGGGAGCTGTGCCTGCAAAATGAGTGCTCTCCCTTTCCAAGAGACGGTGCTAGAGACAGCTCACAGAACAAACACTGGGAACAGCTCTGCCTCATTAGAAGGTACATAAAATCAGCTGAGACTAAAAACTCTAATATCAAGGTCCAACTTACCTTTATTTCAGGGACTGTTATCCTTGTTTCTGGATTTTTGTCGAGCATGCGCAGTATCAGATCCTTGAGCTCGTCACTTATCTGTGCTCTGAGTGAAGAAAACAGCAGCACACAATTAACAAGGGAATTGTAAGTGCAGCAAAGCACAGTTCTTGCTGCAGTTACCTGGTAGAAAATCTCCTCTGCCCAGGAGATATTTTCCCTGCAACCTGGCTTGAAAAAGGAAGGTACCACAGTCACTGCTACAGGGCTTGGTTATCCTGTTCTGGCCCCTAACACAACAGCACACGCTCAAAATGCAGGATGAGGGATCAGGTGAATGGGTCTGAGGACATCCCTGAAGAAAGCACCACATAGGGGAATTTCTGAGGGGAGATTTGGAACAACAAAGTGCTCCTGAGAGCAGAACTGAACTCTGTGAATCAAGAGCGTCACAGCTTGATTTGCTGAACCTGCATCATGAGCAACTGTATGCTGGATAAAACAGCCCCATCTGACGTTCAAGCTCCCAGCTAAGCTTCCAGGTTGTGTTATTTAAATTGCTTCCACAGCCCTGATTGCAGGCAGCCTGTAACTCAGTATTCCCTACCTGCAAAGCTCAGCCTTGAGGTAACAAAAGGAGGGAATGAACAAATAATGCAAATAAGAGAAATACATCTCAGTTTTAAACACTCTTTCCAAGATCTAAATGTGAGAGCACCTGAACCCAGAAGCCACTCTATTGACATGGAGCCCTTGGTCCTGCAGCCCAAAGGCTGCAGTGACTCCTGTGCTTAATGATGCAGGAGATGCCTTTAAAATGCACTGGATCTGAATGATCAAAGTGCTACTGCACAGCAAAATGCCAGCATCTGACTGAATTAGGCAGCTGAAAGTCTGTGTCACAAATGACTCTTGAAGAACTGTGTTTCTTCATGGAGATGGAACTTAGCAGGATAAAATGTGACTCCCCAGGAAGGTTGGATTTGAGACTGAAAACAACCCTGAGCAGCAGGTGCTGTGCCCACCTCCTCTCCTCAGACAGAGAAGGGAATAAACTGTCACAAACCAAAATGAAAACCACAGCACAGCAAGGGATATTTCAGTCTGATGAAAACAGAGCTGCTGCTTAATAATTCATGAATATTTTATTTGGGCTTTGGCTATGAGATCTTTACAAACAACCACAAGGAAATGCTGCTGGTTCAGAGGCAAAAAGGGGTTCAGTTTGAAGTCTAAACACTTAGAGTTGCATCAAGGGTCTTCTGTACACAGGCAATAGAGCCCAGACAAGGGGAAGAACAGGATGATTCCTCAGGGACTGAGGTGACAATTTTAGTTGGAATGGAAAGAATGGTGCTGCTCTTGAGAAGAGCTCCAGAGGAACAGCCATGGGTGCATTTAGCAGGTCAGAACAAACAGGTTCTTTCCAGACACCACACTGATGCAGGTGGGATGTTGTTTTAAAAATACCTCAAATCAGCTCCATGCCAAAGTGTCAACAGCTTTACTTAAAATACAATAAATAGAATATAAAACCACTTAACATTTCTGGGCACCAGATTGATTTCTATGTATCACAGGATTAAAGCTCCATAAAGAGGATCACCATGTGTCAGGTGGGTTATGGCCAGGTAACAGATGACATCACCCTGTCTCTGGTTTCCCTCTCTCCAGTCTGCAGCAGGGTGTGAACACTGTGCCTGATGGCATTTTTCATTTGAAAATCCCTGTATGGGATTTCTCACAGCCACAGTCCTGCAAATGCTCCCAGGAAAATGCCAAGCACAGAGCTCAGCATCCATTCAGGAGGGCTGCCAGCACCACAGATCACTTTACAGGGTGCCCACAGGTCAGGGAACATCATCCTGGCCTTCATGAGGAGGGACCAGGCAGAGCTGCTGGATCTGCTGACACGTTTGGAGAGAAACTTCAGCTTGCTTTTTAGTCATGCCAGGATCCTCAGGGTGTGAGCTAAGCCCATTTGCTTCGTGTCATGCCAAGGACTCAGTGACATGAATGAGAACTCCAGTGCCATAAATATTTATCCTAGCATCTCTAAGGGAAGGGACAGGATGGTGACACTGGTACAGTCAGATCCATCTGTCCTAAAGGTTGTCAGGAAACAGGCAATGAGTTTCCATGGGCTGTCTGCAAACAGGGATGTGTCTTTTGTAGCCATGGTGAAATAAATTGAAACCAAAATACTCCTCACTAGAGAGGTGCTAATTCTGTGGGAGGTCAGGGTGGATCCACTCCAGTGAATTCCATGTCTCTGTTGCTGCCTCTAACAAATAGATGTGGTTTGGACAGCTGTCAACACCTAGTAACCCTCAGCTCCTGCAACAACCTAATCAGGGGGTGCAGCTTTTTTTAGACTGGGAGAACAGGTCACTGAGGAATCCACATAAATCATGCAGCCCAATTATCGCTGAAGGAAATGCCTGAATGAAGGAATGGATCTCAGCACAACCCAGTTAGCCCATTAAATGTTAATCACTTACTGCAGAGGCAGATGGGAACAGTCACTTATAAGCTGACTGCTAACCCAAATACATGGTGGCTGAGGGAGGGGTGGGAGTTTTGCCAGCCCTGAGCAAAGGAGAAAACTGCCAGGGGAACATAAACAGGTTTGGGGTTTTTTTGGCTGCAGTGCTGTCAAGACAAAATCTTGTTCCAGCAGTAGAGCATGACCAGCCTTTGTGCTCCTAAAGCCTCAAGCCCAGTCCCCTGGTGCTGCCAAACTGCTCCCTCCCCACACTGGGGGCTGTGTGTGCCATCTACATGGCCAGACCCCAGGTCCTTGGAGCTCCTGAGGCCTCTGGGCTGCAGCTGGGCAGGGGTGGCTGAGCTGTCTGCAGTGGCTGTGTCTCCTCATCAGTGCAGGGGTAATTTATGTCTGTGGAGCCAGGGCTCAGGCAGCCCAGATGTCTAAAGGAGGGCACTCTGAGTATCCATCACATTCTGTGGAATCAGAAGTCCTGTGCCACACAAAGAATGATGCTGAAAACTGAACTTTATTTTACAGTAGCAGAGTAAAGTTTACTCACTCTTCTGGGAACTCCACAGGCTTGGTCTTGATCCTGTTATGAAGACCCAGAATATATTCATCTATAAAAGGGCACTGTAAAACAAACAAGAAGTTTTCCAGTTGTCCAAGATCCTGGCATCACTCAGGCATTTGTCATTCATTTAACAACCTCTGCACTCCCTAGGTTTTACACAGAGATGGAAATAAATTAAACCTCCCCACACACAATAAATCAATTCATTCCTTATTAAAAAATAAATTCAGAAAAACAGCAGAGGCATCTTGGGCATACCTAACTGGACTGGAATGCCCTCCTTCATCCAGCCTGCCAGGTGAACTGCCTCTGTCACCTTCCCTGGCCACTTCTGACCCCAGAGCTGGATGCCTGGTGCCTGTGTGGTGGGACCTGCAGTGGTGTGTGCTTGGACAGAGGTTCAGGTGACATTTCTGCCCCCAGAGACTGCACACACCTGCTGTACTGCTCATCCTGGGACAGCACGGCTGGGACATGAGGGAAAAGCCATGACAGGACATGCAGTGTGCAGAAGGCAGCACTGAAGAGCTGTCTCTGCCAAACTGGACCCCCCATCAGTCCTAACTCAGCCTTAGCAGACAGAGATTTCTGTAATCAGGTTCCAGAAACGCTGCAGCAGTTTGGGATCAATCCTACCCCTCTATCCACGCTCTGGCTCATTTCTAAATGCAGGCAATGTGGATAAACCCCCCCCAAACTGCTGCTGGTGCTGCTCTGGGTTTGTGGCACAAACAATGGCTCCACATTCAGGGCCCAATGCTGGAAATGATCCTTTCCACAGATCCCAGCATCAGCCCCTTCCGATCTGCAGGGGGATTTTTTAGCTTAGGTCTTTGTCTCTAATATCTGCCTTTATTTGGAAAGGAAAGAGCCAAAAGCCAGGCAGACAGTGCAGTGCAGGGCTCCAGCAGCTGAAAGGCAGCTTACCTTCCCATAAACAAAGCAGTACAGGGTGATTCCCATGGCCCACACATCCAGTGCCTGAAAAAGCAAGAAGAGAGAGTAAAGGAGAGGCAACACAGATGATCTGAGTATTTCCCCACCAGTTCAGAAAACACTGTTTGTATGGATTTAATATTTTCTATGTCATTTTGAAGTTGGGTTCCTAAGGGCAGCTCTTGCACAGCTGAGGAATGAGGGCTGTGCTGGGCCAAGCATTGCTGTGATCAGCAAGCAGCCCCTTCTTACAGGAAATTACACCATTCAGGGCTGAACCTCAAGAATTTTCCAGATAAAAAAAAAATCCCTATTAGACCCTACCCCTTCCAAGGAATCAAGATCTGACCTTGGTGCTCAGCAGCCCCCTGTGCCTCTTGATTGTTTTGGAAGGGAATCAAAGGCTTCCTCCTTTCCCTTTGGGCAGGGAAAGGGCTCTGGCATGTGTCTGCCCACTGCACAGTACAACCCATGTGAGCTGAGCCTGGACTGGAGAGAATCAGAGCTCCAGTTTTTTCTAAGTGACAGCCCCAATTTGTGCCACAGTCAGGGTGCAGGTGTGGCACTGCCCTTTGTGCCGTGCCTGGGGGTCCCAGAGACTCCAGCTGTGAGCACAGACCCACCTTTCCACTGAAACTTTTGCCAGTCTGTGAGATGGCCTCTGGTGCCATGAAGGCTGGTGTCCCTGCAGTGCTGGAAAGCTGGGCATCATTCCCTTCAAACTGATTGCTGACACCAAAATCAGCGATTTTGACGTGGCCGTCGTCTCCTAAGAGCAGGTTGGAAGGTTTGATGTCCCGGTGGATGATCTTCTGGTAGTGCACTGAAAAACACCCAAAAAAGGGAACATGGTCAGCCATGGCAGCCAAGACACCCAGGGGAAACCTTTCCAGGAGGTGAAAATAAAGGTGCAAGGCTCGGGCACCGTGTTCCCAGCTGCTGCTGGGGATGGAATATAATGGAGCAGAAGGGCCATTTCCTACAGCCATTCCTTTTTGGTACCTCACTGGGACACAATTTCCATAAATACACCTAGGAATTGGGCAAAGAAAAGACACAAACTCAGGGAAAGCTCAACCAGTGGGAATAACCCATCCTGCTGGAGAAGGGAAACACTCAAATCCTGCAGATATCCTTGGATCATCAAACCAGCCAATGGGTTGGGCCACCTGCTGCATTAAAGGTTTATGGGACCCAAATAAAGAGGTTCACTTTTAGTTTATTTCTTTTGGAACTGCAGTGCTGTGAAGCTCATCAAAAGGGGCAGAACCACAGGTAGAATGAAACAGGTGGCAAGCAGCTGAGTGCCAAGTTCAGCCAACAGCTCAGAAATCAGTGGATTTGATCTTTTGATTCCATCAAAAGATGGAATAATGGATCTCCAAGCTGGGAGCAAGCACCAGCAGTGCCCAAAGAGGCACTCTTTATTTAGCCAAGCTTCTCATGGAGCCCACAAATAGAGAAACAACCTCAACTTGCTTTGCATCACCTCAAAGCTCCCAGCCATTCCCACCACTGCTGCTCCCAGAGCTGTGGCCAAGCCCTGCATGCCACGAGGCTCCAGGAAAGATTGCAGCTCTGTCTCAGCTCCATCAGGCCAACCATGGGCACCAGCTGAGGGGCTTGCACATCAAACACGAAACAAACCCTTGCAAAGAGCTTGGAGGCTGAGATGCACTGAAAACAACAATAAAAAACACCCCTCTTGTGCAATATTGCAGTTGAAAGACATTTCCAGGCCAACAGAGCGAAGCAGGGAGCTGTAGGAAAGTGGCTGATTTCTCAGGAACTTGGAGAACTTGAAAAATTTAAAAACCCACCGACTTTCTGAACATGAAATGACCCCAAAAGCAGAACTGTAGAAAACCCAGGAGACTTTACTGAAGGAGGAGGAGGAAATTCTCTAATCCTGCCCTCCCCAGAGGACCAGGACCCCCTGGCCTCCATCCTCCCCTGGCTCCAACCACTGTTTTCACATTTCCTTCTTGCAAACAGAGCATGTTTGTTTTTACACCTCCCCATGAGCACTTTTCATATCTCCTAGGAAATACACATTGGGTGGAGGAAAATGCTGATCTAACCCTTTCCTGCTTTACAAACCTGACCAACACACTGCCACAAAAGCAGCCTGCCCTGTGGAGCATCCCCTGTGGAGCATCCCTCTTTGTGCTTTAGGACCAAGAATGAACAAACTTCATTTAACTTTCTGCTCTCTTCAAACCAACTTTCCAGCAGACCATGCCTGGGGAGGGGAAATCACACTTGCAGATTTTTTTTTTTTTGCAAGTCCCTCTCCTCTGTCCTTGGCACAGTAAAGAGCTGACCTGGAGATCCAGCAGGAAAAAACTTGCTGGAGAGCACCAGTGCTTACATCTTCTTCCAGATGTGCACCAACTGCATGGCCAGGCTGTAATGGGAGGCAGTTAATGCTGTAACAGCCTGCCTAGACAGGATAAACACCAAAACCCTGCAACAACAGTAATTAGGAGGAGACATCTGCTCAGCAGCAGAGCTGGTGGCAAGCTTACATTTCATTATGGTAATATAAGGAGAGGAAATAAGAGTGAGGGGGAAGAGAAGTTTTCTTTCAAGAGATGATGAGCTGCCTTTCAGGCAGGTGTCTGCTGTCATGCCTGATACCACAGGGCTAAGATTCCCAAAATCTCTAAAAAAACCCCAAAACAAGTATGGACCACATAAATACATCCCTGGAGCTTGTTCTGTGAAAATTAAGGTAAGCAAGTACTCCAGGCTTTTTATTGTTTCTTCCTTGTAGGCAAGTAAAAAACCACAAACAAAATAAACCACAAACCATTTTCTCTATCATGTAACTGTATTTTGTAAAACATTCCCTACCTCTGCACCATCTAATGGAAGCTGAGGAACACTGTGAGCTGTTTTCCAGCTGCCACATGTTTCCTCAGTGCCCATTTCTGCTGGTCCCCAGCAGGTCTGGACACTGCTGACTGCTGGGCACAGAAAAAAAGAACAAAGAGATTAGAAACACAGCCTTTGCAAAAATCAATGCCATCAAACAATGGCTCATTTGGCCAATGAATATTTGAGTTTCCAGGTGAGAACGCTGCTCAAATTCAAGCCCATATGAAAAAACTGCCCAAAAACTACCTAAAAACTTCCTGAAAATCTGGTTTTTTAGAGCTTTTTGTTTTGTTTTGTTTTGTTTCCTCAGTACAATGTGTTTGAACTGAGTTGGTAGTAGCAGCTAGCTGTGCTCCAGTAGATGGGACTGGAGAAAAGGGCAGATTCTGGGGAAGTTCTCTGCTGCTGGGCCAGCTGACTCCTAGCTGTTCCCTCCTATGTGGGTCTCCACAGTTCTCCCATGGCCTCCCTGCCTCTTAGCAAAGCTGAGCACACCACATCATTCCTTTCTGCTCAGTCCCTCAGCTGCCCACGGTGGGAGGAAACAGCTGTTTCACAAACACTCCTCATTCTAGATCCCACAGACTTCCCCCTTCACTCAGGGGCAAATGCCTGGGAACTGTCTGCCAACAAATCCACTAACAGGGAGTGAAGACCCAGAGGAAGCACAGATAGAAGTGGTAAAAAGAAATGTTGCTCCTTAGTCCTTTTAGAAAAGGTGCTTTTCACTGCATTCCTTTCTGGGAATCTTGGGGACCCAGCAGATTAACACAAACCTGCTGAAAGCTCATTTAAAAATTATACATATAAAACTTTGCAATGCACTGACACATCCTGCTATTTACTGAGGCCACTGCTGAATTCTGCTTGATTAAAACCAGAATCCCATTCCCATTCAAGGGCAAAAGCAATCCATATGGTGCTACTGCAGAGTCTGCTTAGTATTACTCTCACATTGCCCCTGTAGCAAAGAAATGATTTAACACCCTCCCAAGGAAACTGCTGCACCACCAGACAGAGCTCAAAACAGATCAAAACTCATCCTCAGTGCTCTGCTGAGGAAGGGCTGGAGGACAGGGCTGTCCAAGGGGAGCAGCCCCATCCCATGCTCAGCTCATGGCATCAGGGGGAGGATCCCAGATGTGATGCTGTCAGCTCTCTCCACTGTTCTGCTGCTCTCTTGCACTCATGAAGCCTCTGCCACTTGGCTAAGTTGCTTAAACCCAAGTTTTGCACCTCAGTGCTACCCAGAGCAGCTCAGCTTCCCTCTGTGCTCCATCCTCAGCTGAGCACAGGCTGTGCTGTGGGTACTGCCAGCAGGAAGCAACAGGGAACAGAGACAGGTAACCTTGTCTGTGCTGTCCTTCTGCTCCTGTCCTCCAGCCCACAGGAGCACAGCCTCATCACCAGCCACAGGGGATGTGCAGAGCTCCCTGCCATGGTCCAGGGCAGCGTGGGGAGGGAGGGCAGCAGGGCACAAGGGTTGTTGTGACAGAACAACCTGCACAGGCTGTGCCAGGGGCTGCTCCCAACCCCCAGCAGACACAGAACTGCATCAAACAACAAAAATCAAACTGTCTGATCTAAAGAGGCCCCAGCACATCTCTCTGATCTTCTCCATCAGCTAATTACTCTCACTCTTGTACAGAGTCCTCATTGATCACTATCAGCAACACTTGCAGCTCATGAAAGGGTTTTTTGTTTGGTTTCTATCAGCTAAGGAGAGCTTGTCTGCACGTGATAAAACACAAGCCAGCCTCTCTTCTCCTGGTGGTGTCATTTATAACACCCAGAAGCTTGCAGCTGTAGCTCTCACCCCAACAAGCTCTGTTTGAGGAGCTCCAAACTTGGACAGGCAAGAGGCAGGAGCAGAGAAGAGGCAGATCCCCATTTCCCACATGGGAGCAAGCAGCTTGCTGGGAATTACAGAGCATGCAGCAGCTCCACCACAGACTCATATCCCAGCTCTGCTGACCCACACCAACCTGAGGAACTCACCTCTGCCAAGAGCCAAACCAGATCAAACCATCTACACCACTGATGCTTTAGTGCACCCACCCTGGACTTACCCTGCACTAGATATTCTTCAGAAGACACTGTGTTGGCTCATTTACTTAAATTTTCTTTTAAGATAATGGAAATTATGCCCATATATTGATATGAGATATAAGCCTTATCTCAGAAAATCCAGCTTTGAAAAGCCAGAGCCTTTGTTGAGGCTCCAGGCTCAGCATGCAGGGCCCTGGGTCACTGCAGTTCTCCCTGCAGAGCTGCTGCTGAAGGGCAATTCCCCAATGCCTTTAGCTGCATGTCATTACCCTCTCTTCAACCCCACAGCTCAGAGAGACAAGCCTTCCTCTGCAGAGGGGACACCAAAACTGCCCCCCTCTTAGACACAGCCACAGGAGGAGAACTGCAGACTTCACCAGAGATTGCTGGAAATAAGGTTTTTTCTTCCTCAGCCAGGCTGACAGAAACTGTTTTAGCTTCTCGTGACTCGAATACTGAGCTTGCAGCTCCAGAGCAGCAGGGACAGTCACTGTGCTTCATCTGGACTGTGAAAGTCAGCAGGGTTTTCCCCTGGGTCACGCTTGTGTGCGTGTTCTGCACTCCTGGTCACAGCCAGGCTCCTGCCCACACAGCCCTTTTGGCTGCTTATTCCTTATACTCAGCTCTTACTAAATGAAGATTCTCATGTCCCAATCCAAAAATCAAACTGGGATACCCACCTGGCATATCCCTCATGTCTTTTGCTGAAGCATGATGACTATTTCCTACCCAGCACACACATTTCTGCTCAGTATCTCTACGACAGCAAAGTTTGCCTCACTAGAAGGGAGACTGAAGTTGAAATAACCCCAGCCAAGCACTGCTAGAGGGGAGTTACAAGTGGAAAGGCTGGAAATTGCACATATCCCTAATTCACAGAGATGCTTAAGTACATGCTTTAGTTAAGGACACAAATAATCCAGCAGACTTTCCCATCCAAAGCACTTGAGCACACTCTGGAATTACCACTCCCAGACTGCCTCCCCAGTTCCTGAGGGGCTGTGCAGGGCAGTACTGGGCAGGTCCTGAAAGTGGGAGCAAAATCACTTTCCTTTGAAGGGCCCATTTCACCAGGAGCCCAATTACAGTTTGTATGTGCTCAAACAACTCCTGACACAGCCCACACCACAGGGCCCAGGCCTAAGGCAGGGCCTATAAAACAGAACATTAATATCACCATGCCTAAACTCCAAATAAAATCCCAGCACTGCAGGGCCCAGAGGAAGGGAGACTCGACCACGGGCAGATCTCCCTGACTCTCAGACCTTCAACCCATTTCTTCACTGCTTGGTGAACAAGGCTGGGACTGTGCTTGGATCAAAGTGCACTATTAGACACACTAAACCCAGCCAAAAGCAGGGGACAGCACTGTGCCATTGCCTGGCTCTCTCCAGGGCTCTGTCCCTGCCTCCCACCCAGCTCTCATCACCTGCACTGCTGCCTCCCTCCAAACTTCCCCCACAGCCAGACCTCCTGCAGAAAGCCTCCACCCCAGGCAAACTCCATGAAAAAATCAGTGAGAGAAGTCCCCCAAAGACACACAGTGATCACAGACCACATGCTGCCATCACCAGTGATTTTAAAGGTGATTTGAAACGTCTCCCAGCACCTTGGCTTCTGCAGCCCCTTCCTGCTCACCATTAACACCTTTCAGGCTCCAACAGGAATCCAGTTTACAACTTCTAACCTGATGAAATCCAACCAACAATGATGCATTTGCTGCTGTGAGCTTCAAGCAGCTGCATGGTTATTGAGCCTCCCAAATTACACAACAATTATGGATGCTTACATTAAAATTACCTTGCAATCTCTGGATTGCCTGGCAACACTTTTCCTTCAGCATGCACAAATGGTGCACTTTTCCTCTTAATTATATAATAATTGCCATGCATTTACCCAGCAGTTCAGAGAGAACACCATTTTTAACTTTCATTTGCTAATAAAATAAGTGGTTACTCAATGGTCCAAAATAAAGCATCCTATTGTTCCTGTTGCTGAGAGTGCTTGGGCATTCTATAATTTATTGTTGAATTTCACTCCCTCTGCTTAAGACTACCCACACTTTGCTGGGCTTTTTTTTTTTTTTTTCCAATTTATGAAACTCAAAGTTTTCTCTGAGCAGGAACTGTTCCTGCAGCAGCATCCAGCACAGCAGAGCTTGGATCTCCCAGCTGAGGCACACAGGCTCTGCTGCAATCTGAATGCTAATGGGAATATAAAAAGCTGCAACTTCATCCTTCAAGCTCTACTCAAAGACAGTCTTGAGATTCCTATTCATATATTAATTTCTACCAATTTTCTGGGGTGACCTGACTAATTTTGCAGCACCTGGAAGCTTCTGGACTGTCAGACTTGCTTTTATTCCCTGCTGGTTTTAGACAAAAAATGAGGTAGTGCTGCATTTCAATGTGGAGAGGGACTGAGACCCTGCAAACCATGTTCCTCTGTCTCAGCAAGGCCCATCATGCTCAGAGACTTGTTCTCTCTCAGTGGTTGAAGCCAAGTGAGTAAATCCTTCTGGTTTAAACTGGCTACCTGATTATTTTGTTTGCTACCCATTAGTTATTGTGTTTTTAGAGACAAAAAAGATTCATTTCCTGTCCAGCACTTCCCTGATATATAGGATTTTATAAGCCTCTGCCACAGCACTCCTTTCCAGGATAATTTTCCAGTCTTAAGAGCTCTGGTCCTATCTCTGTACCTAAGATATTCCAGGACCATCACAGGTTCATGCCAGCAGGACATGTCAATGACAGTGGGGCCAGAAAAATCCCTGCTAGATTCACAGGCCTATGGTGGCCTCCCTGTACTCTGCAGAACAGGCACTCAGCAGTGAATCTGGCCCCAGCCACAGAGGGACAAGATGTCACCAAAGGAGGTGACAATAATCAAACAAAGAGGAACTCTGCTCTGGAGTCTGGGCAGAGCCTGGGAACTTGATCCACCACCTCCCTGGGAGGGCACAGAGTGACAGGGAGTCACCCAGATGGATTCTGCAAAGGGGGTGGGCAAGAACAGACATCCTCCCTGTGCTGCTCACCAGTTCTGCCACAGCCAGTGCTTGCCCTGCTAAGCTAGAGACAGGGATTTGTTCCAGCTGAAGCTGACTGAATCCATGACACTGCAAACACCCTTTTTCTGGTTCTGCTACTGCCTTCAAAGACAGCCTCCAAAAATAAATAAATGGAAGAAAAAAGAGAAGAATAAATAAGAAGAATAAAAAAGAAATAGATGGAAGAAAAAACTATTTGCCTAATGTCCTTTCTAAGGGTTCTGTGACACTTCCTGGGTAAACCCAAGCTGAGTGGGGCCACCTCCAACAGCAACCCCATCCCAGGCAATCCAAGGGGCCCTCCCTGGCTCATCCAACAGCTCCCCCAGTGTCAAGATGAGCAGGGAGCTGAGGCACACCCTCTGCCAGCTCTGGGGTACTCACAGTACTCGATGCCCAGGACGATGTCTCGGAAGTAGAGCCGAGCCTGCTCCTCGCTGAAGGGCTGCTCACTCGGCACCTCCATCACAGGCCTGTTGGGAAGAGGGACAGCAGCTCAGTGCTTTGTGCAAGGGCAGTAACACCCTTTGCTGGAGGAGTTTGTTCTCCACGTCCCAGCACTGAGGACCAGGCTCCCAAAAGGCTCTGGGTGCTGTGGCACAGCAGGGAGGTGTGTGCATTCTGGATGTGGTGATGCTTTGGTTACTGAGCTTGGCTAGTGATGGGTGGCTTTGCATAGCCCCTGAGCCAGCATGAGCCACAGAGCCCTCATCATCACCAGGATTAACTGCTGATGTCTGCACAAAATGAGTCAAACACTACTCACTGACAGTCCTAATGGGAGAAGAACAAAGCTGGAGCTGGCCTTTGGCTTCCTGCTAAAGCTGCTCATGGCTGTGAGCACCAGCATTCCCATGAGATCCCAGTCAGCAGTGGGGACAGTGCCTGTTGCTGTGCTGCATGTCCTGCCTGCTGGGGCTCAGTCCTGATGCAATATCATTGTGCAGCTGGTCTGCACTGAGGCAGAATCCAGACATGAACCACTGGCTCAGAGGTTAGATGGGAATATTTTCAGTGTATTGTGCTAAACTGCTTCAAAAACCTATTCAGCTGCTCAGGGTTCAGCCACCACCAGAGCTCAGACGTTCAGCCTTGAACAGCCAAGGTTAACCTGGTCAGCTTCTCCTCTCCTTTTCTTTGAATGCTGCCACTGCTGAGGGATGCACAGTCTCCTCTAAAAGCCCCTCTTCTGCCTGTGCCTGCTGAAAGCTGAGGGCAAAGAGGCTGTAAGAGCTAGTCAGAGTCTCCTGCTCCCCCATGGATGAATGGCTGGAGATAAAGACTTCACTGCACTGAGGGCTAATCCTGCCTGTGCTCAGCAGCTTGGCTTTGCATTTGGGCACACATCCACTGACTGGAGCTGGATTTGAGTGAGTGCTCCTGGGACACCATCCTGGCAAGCCAAACCCTGGCAGAGAACAGCCCATTGCCAAAACCAGGCTCTGTGGCTCTTCCCACAGCAAACCCTTTCTGCAGCATTTCCCTCTTCTCCCTTGCTGCTCATTTGATTGATGACCTTCATCTCCCATTTGCATTTTTCTGCCACTGCCTTCCCTCCCTCTTTTATGCACATTTTCCTGTTGCTGAAACCAGGGAGAAATAATGTGAGAGCAGGGCTGGCAGAGCCACTAATGGAGTCTAATTGCCTCCTGCCAGAGGCAGCCAGGCTGCACTTGGATGAGCCACAGGTTCCCCAGCCCCAGCTATTTACAGCAGCTCCCTCTCCTACAGGACAGGCATCAGCCTGATCACCAGGGAGACTGGAGAGCCTCTTGCCAGCAGCTTCTTCATGGGGCCAGAGAGAAAAATAACCCCTCTGGGAATCTCCTCCATCCTGGGCACAGAAATCATTGCCTCACTGGGACTGCACAGCTGCAGAATCAGTGCAGGTGCAGCAAAGAGCAGCAAGGAAGCTCTTACCACCTTATCCCTTTTTCTACTATGCAAAAGAAATGTGCCAACACAACACCTCCCATGAGAGGTTAGTGCTGAGGGCAAAATAAGGCAGCGGGTGGTAAGTAAATCTTGATGCAACCACACATCCCTTTGTGTCAGAGGAAGCCACAACGTAGCTGGAACCCAGCAGAATATTCCTATTCAAACCTTTTCTTCCAGGAACCTGATGAGGAGTTTTCATAGAATTTGTTTTCCAGATCAGAGTCTGGCACCAGGACATGTCCTCCCAGCCCATTTCTATTCACCACATCATTCCAGGCTGTAGAAGTACAAAGGCAACTACAGCTGGGTTTTGCCTCCCCTGCAGACAGGGTTTGCCCCACTGGACATATCAAACCTCCATTTCACATGGGAACCTGATGATGAACACCAAAATTTTCAACAGGAGGGATCCCAGGAGGGCTACTTACCCTTTCCTCATGAGGTCAAACACTGTAAGAAAAGGAAATAAACCATGAATGAATGCGAAGAGCAGCCTGGGCTTATTTGTTATTCATCACCTACAAAAACACATCCATTCCCATACCTGCAAAATCAATTTATCTCCACTCATTTCTCTTCCCTCACCCGTGACAAGGACACCAGAGGATGCAAAATGAAAATATTCATCTCTTCAGCACAGACAAATATCCCCTCTCCTGCCAGCTCTGTACAGGGAGACAGCGGGTGCTAATTTATCAACCGCGGTGCCGCCGCTCTGGGTGTCAGCCCTCGTTGATTTGAGCCCCGTTGTATCTCCAAGGGAGGGTGTTTGGTGTGATATTCCTACTAAATTGCTGATAGCAAAGGAGATGCTGTAAGAACATGCTGCTCCATTTCTGCTGTGTCAATCAGCAGCACAGCTACAGCTTTGTCGGAGCCAAACACTCGCTGGCGGGAGCGACTGAAGAGGATTTGCTGGTGTGAGTTGAGGATTGCAGAGCACATGAGTTTGTGTGTCTGATTAGGAGGTTGGGGAAAAGTGTTTTTCTGATCCTGCTCTGCCCTGCTCTGCAAACAGGAGATGGATCTGCTTTTATCTAGAGTAGGAGAGCTCTTTCCCCGTGAATTATATAGGGATTTCTTGCACCTCTCAAAAAATCTGAGCAGATCCCCTCCCCAAAGCAGTGTGGGATCCTCTGAAGGAGCAAACACAACGGGGCAGCCTGAATTGGCTCATGTTGCCCTCCAGGCTGAAGAAGCTGCAGCTTGTGGAAGCATTTCACTATTCAACCGCTCTCTACTTTTGCAGGTTGCTCAGTGCCTGTTGACATCCCACCCCATCCCATCCCATCCCATCCCATCCCATCCCTCACAGCAGTGCCTGATCCCAGCAGTCACAGGCAAGGAGCAAACACCACCTCCACTAGATCTGCTTTGCAGAGGCAGGAGCTTGATGTGCCTGAACTTCACGGGATCCCAGGAAGATGAAAGGGGTGGTGGAACATGGACAGCAGGGACATGGCCAATGCTCCTCACTTAGGGACCAGCACAACCTCCAATAAGATCAGGAGAATCCCCACCTGTCCTGCTGCTGTTGCTGCTATTTCTCCACGGGTAGAGCTTGGTTTAGGTTTGGGTTTTTTTCCCCTCTGCAGCTTTCTACCTCATCTCTCCCCTTTCCTCCAATCCCCAGGAGTTCAGGCCTTCAAACAACAGCCTCAATCACCCTCCCCACCATGAGTGCCATCACTTTGAGATGCTGCCAGATGCCACTGGGCCTTCAGCCCAAAGGGAAAAGTGGCCTTTCAAAGGCAAATTGCTTCATTTGCTAGGCAGAGTCCTCCTTCAGGGTAGCTTCAAAAGAGTCCCATAATTATTTAATGAGGAGCAGTCTTTGAACCTGCTTCATCAGGAACCAGTTTGGGGAAGCAGAGATGGAAAAGGGTCAGTCATCCCCTCCTCTGGCCTATCTCAGAGGGCACCTCAGGGCCTCCCAGGCCTGTTCCTCAATGTTTCACCCAAATTAGGAGTCACAGGGAGCACCCCCAGACAAGACTGGAGTGACTCTGGAGTCACTGCCACTATCCACAGCCTACAGAAGTTCCATAGCAGGAGGACAAGGAAACCACCCTGCAGCCTTCTCTCCCCTCCTGGCTCTGGAATCAGCTCTACAGAGGGAAGGGCAGAGCAGCTCTCAGGTCTTTTTAGTGTCCCCAGGGCAAAGAGATGTTCACAGCTGTACTGACACAAGGTTGCCTTACCCTACTGCACGGGGCCTTTCCATCCCAGCTGCATTTACAGGCGTTTTAACTTGGCAGAAAAAAAATAAGTCTGCTGAAGTTGGCACAAGTTTCCTCCCGTATTGACCCCGAGTCCTGGTACGTGTCACTTGCATCACTAGGCCTAAGCCCAGATGGTTCTGTTAGCTTATGAGACTCACATACCCATGTACAAGTTGTCCTCTGCAGGATCATCAAGGACCTGAGAGATCACAAAGAAGTAAGGGGAAAAAGGGAAAAAAAAGTGAAAAACAGCAGGAAAAAAAGGGTTTTTTTTTTTAAGCAAGTAACACTCCCAGTATACTGTGCTGAGCTGCAGAACACTGAGAGCAATTTAGAAATATTTACAGAGTCCTGCAGAGAGTGGGGTTCTGGAGGACAGATTTTCCTGTCTCCAGAAAAATCTGGGCTTCTGCCTATATTTGGGAAAACAGCCTACCAATAAAGGCACTGCTTGTCCTAAACTGACCTCAATCAATAATGAAAATGGCACTGAAACCTTGCACTTGTGCACCTTTCCAGGCTTGTCTGCACACAAGTTCCAGTGATCAAAGCTCACTGCTATTTCTACTAGCACAGTGAGCTGCCTTCTCCTGGGCACCAGCCCAGAGCGCAGGGTGAGTGTGCAGCTTGTCCTCCACACTCAGTAAGACTTTGCTTGGAATCACCAGCCTCAATTTCTGAACATCTATTTTAAACCAATTCTGGCTGAAGTAGGAGCAGCTGAAGAAAAATCCTCTTGTTGCAATACAAACCAGACTTTTTTCAGCATAGCTTAAGGTGGAGAAGCAGCTCACCTCTATCAGCTTAACGATATTGATGTGGTCCAGCTTCTTCAGGATGGCTATTTCCTGATAGACTCTGTCCAGGGGTGCCATGGGTTTGGGCTGGTCTCCAGAGGATGCTTTTGACCCTCTGGGAGGAGGCCGACCTGCAAGTGTGACAGCACAGTGAGGAATTCCTCATTTGGCAGCAGCACCTGCACGCAGGATGAGCAGCCACTGGCCCCTCTGCACACACCCCCAGCTATTCTGGAAGATCTCATCACCTTGTTCTCATCCCAAAGCTTTGCAGTCTCCCACCTGGAACTCAGATCTCCAAGTCCCATTCAGACCAGCTGCTCCCAGCTTCCCAGATGGGTCTGGGCCATCCCAGGTGCTATCCCAGGGGTAGAAGAGACTGAAAGGAGGGGGAATAGCCTGCCTAACTTCCAGTGCTGAATTAGGCTTCATAAATGGTGAACATGGAAGAGTCACCACTTCAAAGAGACTCACAAAAATCAGAGCCAGGAATCTCATTACTGAGTTTGCTGAATTTCCCTGTGGCTGTACCTGCCCCCTCACCACCCACTGCACTTTAACCAGCTCCCAACTACATGGGCAGCTTTCACAGGGGGCCACGTTCTGCAGTCCTTGCAGACAATGTTTCTACAGAGAGATTTGGCTGAGGACAACAGGCAGACCTCTAAATGTGAGACACTCACGTGGAAATCCATACTGCTTCAAGAGCTTCTTTTTGGAGAGGACTTTCATAGCCTGGAGGGAGAAGAAAAAGCAGTGTTAAAACTGAACAAGAGCCAAAGAGCTGATTGCTGTGACCTGGGAGTATGCTGGGCATCAGGGCTGCTCCTCAGCCTAGAGAAGGGTCCTGGTTAGTGGTGGCCACAACAGACAGACACTGACCCAGGGTTTTTTGAAAGCACTGCTAACCATTTGTTCCATTCATTTTTTTCCCCATGAAAAAAATTTTGATTTGTTTTCAAATGGACAAAGAAAAAGGAGCCCAGTTTCTGCATTTGGGGCAGAAGCCTGAGGGAAGAGGTGGGTTCCTCTGGCTGACCCACTGTTTTGGAAGATGTTATGGCCATGCTCCATGTCAGAGCCACTTCAAGGCTGCTTCATCTTATGTTTTGTGTTGTCAAGGGGTATTAGAAGGAAACTGAACCCAGGCAGCTGAGGTGTGGGAAGGAGTCAGGGTAATTCTTCCTGCCATCCAGCTGGCATTAGCACAGTGGCAAAAGGCAATCTGAATTTAATCAACAGTCTTTGTGCCTCCATCTGCTCTGTGCATTAATAACCTTTTGGAGGGCCACTCAAACACCCCAAGTGGCCCAGCAGATGAATATTTAATGCAGCTCATGGTACAATTTGCTTAAGAAAACAACCTGTGCTTCCAGGAGCTGGGATGGTCACTCACTCTTTCCCCTAGTCCAAGCAGTTACTCCTATTAATAAAGCATCCAATATATAATTCACACTGGAGTGATACAAAATCTAACTAACCAAGGGGTCCTGCAGGACTAATTTTGCATTAGTACCACAGAGGCAGGGTCTCCTGTTTTTAACACATATACCAGGAACACCAAAGCCATTCCAGTGAGCTCCTTCCCAAGTTGCTGTTCCTGGCAACGATGGCACCACGTGCCCAAGCATCTCCACTCCCATCAGTGCTCCCACTGCAGCCAGGTTCGTGGCTTGCTGAAAGGATTGTTATTTTTGGTACTGATCCAGTGAAATCCTTTGGATTTGCACCCGTGTAATTGAGAAGAGACACTGTGCAATGTTTCAATCCCGCCTGACAGCTCCAAACCAACTGTTAGAAATGATGGTGTTGAGAGACAGACTCAGAAGTGCTTATCTTTGACTTAGCACAGCTCTGTGTCCAATACAGGCAGCCAAATGACTCATGGTCTGCTGAAAGAGGATCCAAGATGTGCACAACCACCTCCAAATACGGCCAGGACCATGCCTGGAGGACTTCCAAGGTTTCCCACTTTTATCTCTCCATAATGAAAATGTATGAGAAAAATCAAAGGAATTGGTACATCCATTTCTCTTTCAACCATTGCCAACCCAGAAGGAGAATGCTCCTCTTGCTCCAATCCCATCTTGAGTCCTTGCTCCCTTCTGGCAAGGAGCTTCAAAAAGAAGGACAAAATAGAAGATGCGATTTGCTGCGGAAAGCTCCCAGGTTTGGGAGCCTGGGGGCCTCAGCCTGAGGAACTGAAGCATCACCACCAGCCCTGCCCACATCAGGACAGTCCTTCCCAGGAGAAGCTGCAGGGAGCAGGAAGGCACAGAAAGGAGCAATAGCTAAGACAAGGGAAGATCTCAGGGACAGAAATGGAGGGAACAGGAGCTACTGCTGTCACCCAAACTGCTTGAAGGGCAAGGGGGGTTACTGCATCATAGGTGAGCTGACTGCAAACCACCACTGCTGCTGGGAAGGAAGCACCAGGATATGCTTATACCAGTTTTGAAGCACCAGTATCTGCTACTGCACAGGCAGGGATGGGTCAGAAGAGAGGACCAGTCCCACTGCACTGACAAACTCAAACAGGGACCAAAAGCAAAGTTCATCATGCAACAGGCCAGAACCACTTAATTATCACAAGAGCAGAGAGGAGGGCACGTGGCTGTGAAGCCTCACTTTAATTACAGTCAGCTGGCAGGACCAGGCTTCCTCCTGAATTGTGGCTGCTGCAATGGGAGCATCTCAGGGATGCTTCAGCAAACCTCTCCTTCCGGGCTCACATGCACTACAGAGCCAAAGACATTTGTACTCACAGGCAGAGCTAATTACCCAGATAATGCCTTTCTGATAAAGAACCAGCTCAGAGCCAAGCTGAGGGATTTTCCCTTTGCACAGGCAAGTGTTGCTTCAGTGTTCTCAGGAAAAGAGGGAGCCTGGAGATTTCCTCCACACATCCTCTTCCCAACGATTCCCATGTGGACACGGGTCTTGACATTTCCCTTTGAGAATCAGCAGGAACAGTGTGCTTTTCTCTGATGTATGTTTATTATCTATGTTTACTGCTCTCTCTCCCTATCAGCCTTACAGCTGGAAGCCACAGGGAAGCTGCCTAAGGGAAAGGAGATCCCAGGCTCATGGAGAGGAGGAATGCCTGTGACACAGCAGCTCTCACAACAGAGAGATCACAAGCTGCGGGAAATGACAACAGCAAAATGGCCATTAGTTTTGGGAGGGAAGGGTGACAAAATGATTGAGCCAAGTGAACTTATCACCTGTCCTTGGTGATGCTCTCACAGTGCTTAGAAAGTGATTTGCTAAGGCAGAGACTTGTACTGCAAGGGCAGAAGCCCATGCACAGTCCCTACCTACAGCTCCCAGGGGAGTGGGATGCTGCTCAAAGGTCCCTATTAACCACCTAAATCCTCTGCCAGTGCATGTGGGAATGCTGAACAGACCAGAGAGCGTTTCCAGCTCCTCCTCACCTGTCCTGCCTAACAACATCCCTCAGTCAAAGCAGCTGAGAGGAAAGCTCTGCTAGGAAAGAGGAGTGTTATAAACTGACAGAAAATCCTAAATCAGACAGGCTTAGTTGCCATGGCCTTAAAATCCTGCTCCTGTGTTTGTCACCTTTTTTCCCATCAGCAGAATTCCATCATCAGGCTGTGCCCCATCCAGGCTGTGCCAGCAGAGCAGGGATGCTGTCCTGGAGCTCGCCTGTCTCCAGCTGCTTCCCGAGGATCCTGCTGTTACCCCGGGTGACCCAGCCCCTGACAAGCCCTCAGCTGAACAGCACGAGGTGTTAGAGACAGCCAGAGATCCCTTCCCTGCTCCCCTCCGCTGGGGAGTGCAGCTGGCAGCGGTTCAGCAGCTGTTATGTGAGCAAGAGGATGAGAAACACGGGAGCTGTGCCTTCCCTTTCCGCCCGGATGGCAACCAAAGAGGATTCTCCAGGGGCTGGAAAGTTCAAGGCTTGCTGCTGGCCACCTTCTCAGCAGCCCTTTGTCCAGCCACTCCTCTCATAAACTTGGAAGGAATTTCTCCCCATCACTGAGACTTGGTAGGAACCAGCCCTCCCTGCAAAGATTGTTAGGTACAAACAGAGGCAGAGAGCACAATCACACAAATCTCGTTTCTTAGGAAACAAGATTAAAACAGGAGGATGAAAAAAAGAAAAATCCACCGACAACCTAAATGCTATTGCTTTATTCCAGCAGTAGCATAACAAATGCCCATCATAACCACTTTTCTTTGCAAGCTGATTTAGAGATTGAAAATAGGAGGAAGATATGGCCTGAGGCATCAAAGAATCAAATTCCATCAGCACAATGATTCCAATCTAGATCTCTGCTTGGACACATTTTCCTTTGATTTTTATTTGCTGCTATTTCACAGAACTTGGCCTTTGGTTTTTCCCCATGTCATCGTCAAAGCATCTCCTTCAAACTGAGACACCAAAACCTTTCCAGTGTAAAGGGTTCCTTGGCAGAGCCCCACAGGAGCTGCTGTAACAGCTTTGTGTGCCCCAAGAGCAGCAGAGTCCTTCAGCTCTGCATTCCAGTGGGGTCTCCTCCTTGGAGGGAGCACTGGGTCACTTATCTGGTGCAGAAATTCCAGTTTCCATGGTCTGACACATTCCCTGAATCCACTGATGTGAGCCAGGACACTTCACAGCCCTCCCAGGCACTGCGGGTGCTCACAGCAACCAAGGGCAAAGCTCTTAGAAGCACTCCCTCATCTTTAATGGAAGGTAAAAAACCCACAAAGTAAACACAACACATCTACATTTTTTCCCAAATGTGGTGATTGAATTTGTTTCTTGAGATTTTTTCCTAATTCTAGGCCAGAGCCAAAACTCATTAAAGAAGAAGCAATCTTTCCTTTTGCTTTGACAGGAGCTGTATTCAGTCCTTGCTCTCTATAAACTCTGCTTTTGCCTTGCAAAGGGTCCCACACCTCTGCAAGAATCAGAAGCCACACTCTGAATTATACCCCCAAATAATAATTTTTTTTTTCTTATTTCTTTACAATTTCGGTCCTAGTTATTGCAGCACACTAGCTTAAAGACAATAAAGAAAGCAGCAACAATTACTTCTTACTGCTTTTCACCACTGAGAGAAAAAAACACCATCCAGAGCTAAATCTGGGGGAAAACAAACACTCAGAAAAGACCCTTCCCAATTATTAGAATCACAATTGCTCCTATTAACTGCTGGTAAGAGACATTAGGTACCCCTGTGGATTGGGGTGCACTTCTGAGGAACAGCCTGGGATGGGAAGGATGAGCAGGGCAGGATGGAAGAAGAGCTCGAGGGTCAGGCACACCAGGCAGGAGCAGAGCTAAACAACCACTAGCCAGGGCAATCAGCACTCTGAAGCTTCTCTGGAGCTTTGAAAAGCTGCCAAGAGAGGAGCAAGGACATGGGACACAGAGTTCAGAGATGACTGCCTTTCACAGCAGCCTGCCCCCTCCTCTCCCCACAGACACCCAGCACAGCCACACACAGCAGGCACTGCCCTGGGCCCATCTCTCCATACCAGGATTGCCAGGATCTCAGCTGGGACCCAGCTCAACCCCAAAAGCAGGATGGGGTGAAGCAAAGAGCACATCCCTGCAGTGTGGGGGTCTTTGTGCCCTGCCTGCCTTCAGGTGAGGCTCAAGCAGTCCCCAGGCACAGTGTCCCTCCTGGGATGCAGCTTAGATTCTTCTAATCTTGCTTAGATTAGAAACCAGGATTAAGTGGGGATTAACTAACACACACAGGAGGCTAACCTGCACACAGGCTTTCACTTTTGGTTTGGATTTGACCAGCTAAATCTACATCCACAGGGTTAATCTGCACCCAAAACAGGGACAGGACTGCAGTGGGCAATGCTATCCTGACCCCAGCTCTCCCCTACTGAGCTCTAACAGATGCCCTGCCCACCACTGGGCAGCTCAGTGGGATTTCCTGAACAAAAGTGCCAAAATGTAAGGATTACAATTTTCAAATGAAGAGTGTTTTCAGCTGGAAATAAACGTGATTTATGGATGTGATGTGTTTCCACTCTGTGCTACTGGTGCTGGTGGGACAGATGGATCAGAGAAGCCAGAGCTGGCACCTCTGCAGAACAAACCATCCTGCTGCAGGGCATGGCAGGGAGGATTTGGAGGGCAGCAGAGAAAAGGAGCCATTGGAAAAAGCTCTGGTGCTGCTGTGAATCAGCTTGGAAAGGACAGGAGATGGAAAGAATTGTGGCTGCTTTCCTTGGCCAGCTCCAGGGCACCTTGTCCAGATTTTTGTCTCATCTCTTCCATCCTTCATTTCAAGCCATTCCTGCCACAGTTTCATGCCTGCTGGAAGCACAGAAAGGCTAAGGAATACCCACAGGCACACAATTCCCACCTGACCCTTTCAACCTGGTGTGTCTCTTGTAATAAAGAGTCAGGGAGGAAAAACTATCTGGGGAGCAGTGGGGAATGAGCATGGCTTTTGTTCCACAGCACATTCTTATCCCCTTTGTCCCAAAGCCAGCAGGGACAAGCAGCAGCACACAGGACTGCCTGGGTGCTCTGATGGGTCCATTTTCATGCATTTTTCACATGCAGGAGCAGCAGCTCTGGCAGGGCTGTGTTGGGTTGAGGTTTAACAGCACTGCAACCACACAGCTCTGCTCAGCAGATTCTTGCCCTGGGATCCATCAAAAACTGCTGGAAGCTCTTCCCAGAAGCCTCCAGGCAGAGCCACACATAGCAAGGAAGCTTTCCTTCCTTCCAGCTCCTGCTCTCAGACTGAAGAAAACAAGCCACAGGGCAAGCCCAGGGACATGAGCACATCTGCAGGCAGATTTTGCAGGAATTCCAGTTGGGATGGCTGGGATTTAGCTGCCTCTGAAAGGGGAGGCACAGAGCAGGAGCCTTCAGCATAAGCAGCCTTTTGGAATAGGAAACTCTCCAACTCGGGCTTCCTTAAACCCCAAGATTTGCCTTCTGTCTTGCACCCTACACCTCCTGCCCTGACAGTGAGCCTTGTTCAGTGTCCCCCAGACATCCCCCAAGGGGGTAAGATGCAGGGAGCCTGGCACTGCCCAGCCACACCACAGTGTACAGCATTTTTCTGAGAAACGCCCCCATTTCCTTACAAAACACGCCTGCTCCTTCCAGGCCAGGCTTCCAATGCACAGCAGGTGCTGAATACCACCACCCACATGCCTCTAATTTCAGGTGACCTGCTTCATAGCTAGAAAATGCCAAGGCAAATCAGCAGCATGCTTCTGCAGCCTGCCTGTGCCTTACGTAAGGCGCCCACCCCGTCCCCTCCCGAGCGCAGCGGCTCCATGCCCAGCGGGAGCTTCAGCTCCTTGCAAGCCACCCAAATCAGAAATGCTCATGCTGAAAGCAGCCAGGTAGAGAGGACCCAGCTCTCAGGGGAGGAACAGCAGCAGCAAAGAGGAGCAGAGACACACTTACATAATACTTGTCATCGTTCTCGTTGTAGGCCAGTTTCACGACGCCGTAGGAACCCTAAAAATAAACAGGAATTGCACAGTCAGTTCAGCAGCTTCACCTCATCTTCTCACTGCTTGAGGCTGGGAAAAAACCAGCTCCCAGGGCCCCAGACCATGCTGACCCCTGAGCAGTCTGCAGGTGATGTGACCCTGAAAGGTTGTGTTTTGGGAGCTCTGTTGGAGCCAAGGGGTCCTGGAGGATTATTGATGTCTGGAGGAGTTGAGTATTAGCCCATCACCTCCTGCCCTGAGCCAAAGCCACCATGTCTGTCTGAACTCAGACAGGGGTGGGGAACTGAGAGAAAAATTTTCAAGCAGTTTTTTTTTGGCGCAAATTTGGAAATTCTGCACAAATACCTTTCCTGTTCCACCAACCTGCCCAGGCAGATGCAGACCTGGGCTGCTGCTGTATCCACAGCTCCAGAGACAGCCTGAAGCCAAGCCAGAGCCTTCAAAATATTTCTCCTGACTTCAATGAGAGTTGAAATAAGGTTCTGGTCTCAGAGGAGACTAAAAAGCCAGCTGGCTGACCCAGAAGCACAGCAGACCCTCTACCAACCTCACAGTACCCATCTGCTTGCTGTGACCCACAGAGATGGAGGCAGGGACAAATCCACCTGAGAGCAGGTTTCACACTCTCCTTAAATCTTAACAAAGTCTGAAGTGGGTCTGAAGCTGTGTGTGATTTGGGATGGCATCTGCTGTGCCAGCAGTGGTACCTCCGTTCTTACTCCCTGCCTGCCAGCAGCCAAATGCACAGCCCACAGCACAGATGGTGGGGGTGCCATCCCACAGCCTGAGGCCTCTTCTTTTGGAGGCATTTGGGCTAATTAAACTTCTGGTGAAGGTCTCTGCAGCTCAGGATGCAGCCTCTTCTGGCTGCAATGCTCCAGCTGCAGAGGCAGACACAGCTTCCAGACAGCACCACTGCTTGTGGACCCATCTGCAACGGTGGCACGTGGCCAAATGTGCAGGTGTGTGAGCTGCTCACCAGCCCAGACCTCTGAATAACTTCAGAGGAATCTTTTTTGAATCATTCTGCAGCTTTTACACGTGCACTAGAATTAAACAAGCACTTCACGTGATGTAAAAATTTTAACTAGTCCTGATGGGGACCAAACCTCTGCCCTGATCATCTTTTTGGGTTTTTTATTCTTTGTTCTGTTGTATTAATGTATCAAAGCCCCTTAGTGTTACATTTGGCAAACAAACAGCTTGAAAAGGAGCCAGCTTAATCACCTTCTCAGGGAGGAAAAATAAATTTAGATTTCAAAGGAAGTAACTCCACTGTGACCTTGAACAAAACTTGCTCTAACTAATAAGGGAAAAAAAAACCCCAAAACAATCAAAAAATCCCCCCCAAACCAAACACAACTTGCAAGGAGTCTTGGCCAGTGGGGTCCCCTGGGCTGGCACAGCCTTTCCACCCCTACTCACATGTGTGACACAGGCTGGTGGGACCAAGATGAGCCCCAGTACATACCTTCCCTATTTCACTCTGCAGCTTGTACTGGTTTAATTGCACACAGTCCTGCAGATCAAAAGGAGAACATAATTAGAGCATTGGTAAAGGAAATGACTGAGTTTGAATCAGGTTCAAGTAGCAGCAGAGTGCTAAATAATTAAAGACTTAATCTTACTTAAACTGGTGTATGTTACACTATAAGCACTCCTATTTTTTTTATTTTTTTGGACAACCCAAGACAAAACAATTATGGGCTAAATTCTGATTCCAATTGTGCTGGAGTAAAACCACCCCAATTCCCCCACATTGCCCCAGGTTCAGCCCAGGGGGCCTGCCAGCAGTCCCTGGCTTGTTTACATTAACCTTCTATACCTGACTGTGCTCAGAACCATTCAGATAATTCCTGGTGGGAAGCACCATCACCTCAGCTTCTGCTGTGCTTCCAGCACTTGAGCTGAACACAGCAGAAATCAGATTACAGGTGCTTTCTACATTTTTTCCCCCTTGCTGAAAAGACCATAATTCACTGCTGAAGTGACTCCTGCCACGTGTTGCTGCAGACTGGAAGGGTTGTTATTCTGTATTTTGGTTCTCCTGCAGGAAGTGGGATAATTGTCCTATTCCTTTATCAGAGAAAAACACCTATCTCTGGGCCAAGTGTTTCTTTAAGATAACATTGTACAGTTCTCCTGATTTCATCATGCCAATGCATTTGCAACTGCTGATAAATACAAACAGAGCAAGAACCTTAATGAGATCCTTTAATGAAAAGCTGTCACCAAATTAGACTGAGCCAGTTCAAGTGTGCAATAATTGTTTCACCTTAAAAAACAAGATGCCCTCTGTGTTAACATGTCCAAGGTATTAGTCAAGAGAGGAAGGGGAGGGGGGGAATCATTGCCACAGAAAACAAAAATTGGTCAAAAATCATAAAGCACAGGGCAGTCCAGGCCCTTTCACAGATCCAAGACCTGCTGTTGTAGATGGGACAAACTCTGTCAGTCACACAGGGACAAGATGCCCACGTACAAACATCTTCAGAGAGTCCTTCCCTGATACATACAAACACCAGGGCATCATCTGGGCAGCAAAGCTTTTAGCAGCCTCAGGAAAATCCTCTTGCCTTGCTGCCAGCACTGAGCAGGAGCTGGGAATGTCACATCAGCAGAGGCAAAGTGGGCCTCAACTCTGGGGCCTGTGCCTCAGCTCTGCAGCTTTCTGTACCCTCAATAGCTTCAGTTTAATCATTTCTGTGCCACAGCTAAAGCCATTCCCTTGTCAGGGCAAGGCATTGATAGGCAGCAAGGCAGCAGAAATCCCATCAGACACTCCCTCCAGGGAAGGCAGCACTGAGAGAACCTTCCAGGCCATAGGCCATGCATAATTTAAGAAAGGAGTGGAACAAACAGGGAACTTTTTAAATTGCAGATCAATTTTTTGATAGAGAAATGACGGATGAGGTTAATTAAGAACACAGTAATGCTGTTGGGAGAGCAGAACACGTTACTTCTCTTGCAGAGTTAAAACTGCAGACCCAGACTTGTCAGCAGTGGCTGCCAACTCTTTGTCCAAGGGCAGTTGGCTAATTGGTGTCTCTGGGAATAGTCTTTGTGCTAGACAGCAAGCCCCAGCCCTGCTGCAGCCCTGCCAGCCCAGGAGCTACCACCTGCCTAAATGACAAATCCAAAAGCCCTGCTCAGAAGGCAGGGGTCTGTGGAACAGGTCCCAGTGACAGGACAGCCCCAATTCACTGCCTGCTGCTGTCACTTGATAAATCCTCCCTCAGGCTCAGCTTCAGCTCTTGGTCCTCTTGATCCCTGAACAGAAGTTTTCCTTCCTGTGAACAAATATTAAACCAGCATTAAAAAGCTCAGCAGTGTCTCTCTAAGAGGACACAATGTTCTTCCATAATTCATCAGTGAAAGCAGAGCATCCAGCTCTGCCGTATGCCCATACTCTGCCTCCACATAGCACATCTCTCCATCATTTCTCCAGATCAGTCCTGGATGCAGCATCAATGGCAGCAGGCACTGAGCTGCCACCCTGCTGGAGAGGGAGGCAGACTCAGTCTGAAATGGCTATTGGCACAAGAGGAAATTGTGACATGCAGCTGTGCCATCCACCCCTGCTCCTGACAGACAGCACCTGCTCATGGCTACTGATAAAGCCTGAATGCTCCTGAACTTCATCTCCAGCCTTGCACAGACTGGAACTGCCCCGGGCAGGGGCCACGAGCTGGAGCAATGGATGTTCTGCACTGAAAGGCACTGACTGAGGATGCCAGAAACCCAAACCAAGGGTTAGAACCAATTCCAAAATAGCTTTAAGCAGGTGAGAGGCACTGACTGGAATACAAATGTGTCCCTATAAGGTGAGAAGGAGCAGCAGAGCTCGTGAGAGGACCTCTGTGAGGGCAAACACCCACCTCAGAATGTTCCCAGCTCGTCCAGGCTCCCTTCCCACTCTTAGCAGAGCCTCATTAATATGAATGCTGGTTTCCAACTAGCACAGCTCTGCTGCACAGCTGGGCTGCACCACAGCAGGGCTCTCTCAGTGATATCAAAGTGACCATGGAAAAGGCAGCACTGTGTGAAGAGCTGCTGCAGGAGCAGGGACACAAGGGCTCCACATCTGCATTTCAAACTAAGCACTTCCCACCCCCAGGCAGTAACCCTTGCTGCTCAGGATGCAGATGCTGTGGAAGAAGATGGAGTACTTTGCAGATGGGAATGTGCCAGTCACACTTGACTGCAGTTATGTTGAAAGATTTCAGAAAAGCCTGACTCCTGGCACAGTCACAGCACTGCAGGATGGGAGAGCTGGCACTCAAGTCACGTCCTGCTTCCAAGAACTGGCTCCTTTCCCTCCCTGCCTCCCTTATTAAAGCATATGGCTGCTGTCAAAGAAGCTGCAGTCTCTGCACTGCACCTTCTGCATGAATCCTCTTACCTGCTGGGGATGCAGCACCCATCCCACAGCTGGTGTGACCTGCACAACTCCCCAGAGGACAATGGCTGATTTGGTGTGCACCACCATCCTCTCAGATGTGCAAGGGGAACACCCACTTCTCAAAAGGGAAACACCAAGCCACACAGATGTTAAGCTCCAGGTCCCTTGGACTCACACTGGCAGAAGTTTAAACTGCAGGGATTTGGGTCCCTGTGTTGCTGCAGGCATCTAGGTGATGACAGTGGGCAGAGCCCCTCTGCTCCCCACATCCAGCACTGGGAACTGTAACCATCACCCACTTCCATCAAGACACTCGACCACTGACAGCATGTCACAGCTCCTCCAGGGCAGGTCTGGACCAGGAGAGCAGCTGCACAACAACCACAGCCACCCAGACACCCCTCTGAAGGAGAGCAGGGTCACAGCCTTCCCTTAGCACTGCTGTTACAAATGCTTTAAAGAGAAAAGAAAACCCTGACAGGAGCCAGGCATTTAAGCTCTTTATAAAATTAAATCATGCTTTCAATTATGGCAAAACACAATAGCAGATACATAATCTCCAGAAGTTTAAATCCATAAAATACCATCAGCAAAGCTGCTGTGACTGGTGAATTCCCAAAGGGCACCTACAGCAGGGACACGAGAGCAAAGCCATTTGGCCACAGCCCTTTCTCTGAATAACCTGAAAGACTTCCTGCATGCTATCATGGCACAGGGGTCATGGTCCCTTAACAAGACTATCCCAGGCAGGAGAGGGCTGAAGGAGCCAAAAGTCAGGGCCAGGGCTATACCCAGCAGAGCTCTCCAGTTCCAAGCTAACATGATCCCCGGTTCCAGGGATGTTTTCCCTCCCTTAGAAATAGCAGTGCTTTCAGATCTACTCCTCCAGAAGACTGAAGGCTCCTGTTGCCACCAGAGAAAGACTCACCTTACCCCAATACCTCAGCTGTAGGGGAGAACATGCCTACCTCAGAGTCTGATATGGAGACCCGATTGGACTCTATCGTTGGTCTCCTGATTATACGTGGTGATGGCCCCGTGGCATAAGGACCACAACCTGGAGTGTTGCTAGAAGCCAAATAACCTCCTGATGATCTTTCCTGAAGGGACAACTTCCTACTTGACAGGCCAGGTCTAGTTAGAGGTCTTTTGGGAACATGCCTCAAGTGAGCATCTTCTGACTGTTGGGAAGGCAGAAGTTCATTGATTCCCATGTCACTGCTGACTCCATTTCTTTGGATGTCCTTTATGTTATCAGAAAAGACTGTGTCATTTTCTTCAGGGTTGTCTTCACCATTTTGGTCACTTCTGTCTGGGACAACAGACACATCTATGGCTGCCACCCTCTCCACCAGTTCAGTCTGTGTGTCCATGCCTCCACCCAGGACATTTGCTGGAGAGTCCCCCATGGCTGTGTCCAGCTTGTTTGGTCTCAGATGGTCACGCAGAGAGCAGTGATGTTAGTGCTCAAAGGCTCCATGAAATACCTGAAAGGAATCACAAACCAAGGTAATGTGAATAATAATGTTCACTCAACAAAAATATAACTGAACAGATGTCTCTGGCTTCTTCCAGCATGCAAGAAAGTGAAGGCAAAACACTGGCAGGCTGTAAACAAGGTACAAGCACTCAGAATGAAAGGCAGACCCAGGCATTGAGCTAGACAGGAAAGAGATAAAAATGAGATTTTATCTGGTGTGTAACAAGTGACACAGCTAAAGAGAACTTCTCCCTCTGTAGCCAGACCTACAGCCAACCAGGGCTTACAGTACTGGAAGAAGCATCCCAACAGCTGAAGGCCAAAGGTCAAACTTTTGACCTCTCGAATTCTTATTTATAGGATACAAGAGATTCTGGCACATACTCAAACCCAACAGGTACAACAACAACTCCACAGCCATTTAGGGCTCCCCAGTAGTCTCTCTGATGCCCTGTAGGGCCTTAGAGAGTGTCACAGAACAGCCAAGCCCAGTGACTTCCACACTGCCATTTGCAACATGGTCAGCAAAAGCAGGATTTAAAAGCAAATCCAGTTCCAGGGTCACCCCTGGCCCTACACAGTTGCAGTCTGTGTGCAAACACAAATTCTTGCTGCCCACTGTGTATAAAAGCTATAGTGAGTTGCAAATCAACAATGCTTAATGATTAAAGTGGGATGGGAATCAGCCTTTCCTTGGGAGAAGACCTACAGAACACAAAAGTGCAATACAAAGCTAAAACTGCTGCATAAAATCTGCTGTTTCCTGGATGCTAATTTCAGTCTCAATTTAAAACATATTTTAGCCTTCCCAGCACAGTGCAGAGCAGGAAATGATCCTCTGCAGCACATGGCTGTCAACACTTCATCACCTCTGAAGATGCAGCCATCATTTCATCCCTCTGCCCAGCTTCTGGGGATGGTGGGGGAATACAGGAGCACAGCATCCTGTCCTGCCTCCAATGAATTCCAGAGTAGGCTTAACCCTGAAATATTGCAACCTGTGGTTCTCTGTATTCAAAGCAGGCTGTGCATAAAACCCCTGCAAGCCAGGTGATATTTGCATTTACATTTCATTTACATGGGGATAGGGCTTGAGTGAGTCCAGAGAGCCCCATCCAGCCCCAGCCTGGGAACACACACAACCCTTGCCGAGAAGCACAGGCTGAGCTGGGCTCAAAGCTGCCCAGCAATGCTCAGTTAAACACATTACAGTGAGCTGTGCTGCACAGGGATGTGTTCCTGAGGCCCCCATGGCAGCCAAGCTCAAGCAGCCTTTTATATCAATGAGAAAACCAGATGAAGATCTTGACTGGAGGCTTCACCCCAGGTCACGTGCCAATCCTAGGGATACACACCAGGCACTTGGGGCCACTGAAAGGGAATATCCAAATCTAAGATATTACTCTCCACATCCCACTGTTCACCTCCTTTCTCCTTCCTGTCTTTTCTGCAGGTTTGCTTGAAAGAAATTTGACAGAAGTGTCACTCACTCAAAACAGTGATGAAATGGTGAGATCAGCTTTAAAAGCTTGTATTAAAACTATATTTAAACACATCAATCCCAAAGCACAAATCCCCTTTGGAGCCAGGGATCAGGCACTAGGGGTGGCTCTCAGCAGTGAGGGAGAGGTGTGGGGTTCAGCCCAGCACACACTGCAGTGGTCCCACAAACCCAGGGGCAAAGCAGCACGAGCCTCCCCTCTGCCAGACCTCCCTGCTCTCCAAACCCCCAAACCCAGGCTGCAAACCACCAAGCCAGCACTGACCCTTCAAAACTGGGAAGCCCACCAAGGATTTGCTGTCTGCAAAATGCTTTTGTGAAGTTTGGAAAGCTTCTGAGCTAAACAAGGAGCATCAGGCCAGGGCAACTGCAAGCCTGTAGTCACCCCACTTCCTCTGCAGAGGCATTCCCAGAAAACTCCAGAGCCTACAGAGCAGCACATTTCTCAGGGACACACATGGGATGCCAGCATGCTTGGCTCTAGGGGAAGGTCATCTCCTTGGCTCCAGGGAAGAACAATCAAGTTTCCAGCCCTGCACAACCAGGAAAGCACCAGCCACAGCCCTGCTGTCAGCAGCCTCTGCCAGGGCTGGGCTGCAGCTCTGCTGGCAGGCTGGTACAGCACGGAAATCATTCTCAATGAAGGGAAGGAGGCAGCAAAAATGCTTCCACCATTTAACCCAGCTTGCCCAAGGGACAGGAGGAAACCTCCAAGGCCACCCAGCATCAGAAGCTGTTTCTTCTGCCTACGGAATAACAAAACCCGAGGCTTTTCCTTGATGCTTTCCTTTAGCCCCTGGACAGTCACAGCTCACCTCACTCCTAGGCAGCACCACGAGAAAAATCAATCTGCAGCTGAAGCCTGCAGCTCCTACACCTTCATCCCTCCTCCTGCCACGAGGTTTTCCCCATATGTGGGAGCAGGGGCAAGAAAGAATCTGCCTGTGTTGCTGTGTAGCTGGCCACAAAAGCCCACAAACCACCCACCTGGACTGAACATTTGTGAGTCTCGTGCTGCTCAGCCAGCAGGAAAAAAAGGCCAGGAGCAGTGGGAAGAGCAGCCCAGCAAACAGTGATGCTTGTATCAGTCCTCTGAGCAGCTGCTCACCACTCAGACCAGGCACCCACCGTGTCTCTCCCTCAAAAGCTGAAGCAAACTTGCTCAGTTCTAACCCACAGCACAGGCTGTAAAATAAATCTTTAGCTGACAACTGAACTAGATAAACTGAAGATAAACCCCATAAATCAGTCCATCTGATAAAAACAAACAGACCCATACATTGTTGAAACAAATAATACAGTGCTGCTAAAAGCAGGCAAAAAAAATCCAGCAAGACTTTAAAGAAAATAATTGTTCATCTGTAGAGCTGGGCTTTGTTTCAAGTTCTGCTGTTTTGAAGGATTCCTTTTCACTGATAAATCCTCCAAAACTGTATTTGAAAGCAAAGATTTTTGAATAAGCAAATCAGTTATGTGCAGCCCAATCTCATTCTGCATAAACTCAGTACAAAAGGCAACTATTAATTTCTGCAAGGCTAAATCCGTGGTGGATTTGCAGTTTTTCAGGCTGGGGCACAACCATACCTTGCTTGGATGGGAAATCCCAGCAAAACAGAAATTCTACCGCCACCATCTCCCAGCTCCTGCACAGCTTTGCTGTCCCTGCTGATCCCCCACAACACTGAACACCTGCTGTAGAGCAGAGGATAATGCTGCAGACACGAACCAAAGCTGCAAACAAGCTTATATGAGCAAAATTAATTTACTTACAGATATCTTATTTACCATTTTCCCCCGTAGCTATTCCTCTGCTGCAGGCAGACTGCCACTTCAACCATGATTTTCACAATATATTTATCAAATGGCTGCACATGTTTCCCAGATGGGCACTGAGCAGAGAATGGTACAAAAAACCCTTTTGAAAGGAATATGATCCTGGAGAAAACCTCTCTGTATTTTATGTGGGAGTGGGAGATGAGCAGATGCAATTCGTTTTGCTGCTCAATAAAGTATTCCAAAGCATTGTTTGAAAAATAAAAAACTGTAAATCTAGTTTACTGCCTGGTCCATCCTCTTGGCTAACTAGAAATGTTCCTATCAGAAAAGGATGGGGAGGCTAAAAGGCCCTGAGCCACAGCAACCCCAGCTTCATTTCCCAAAAGTGACTTCATGGCTTTGTTCCAGGTTAAGGACGTGCTGCTTCTCCTTTGTGTCCCTGAGAACACACCTGCCCCATGCTGAGGCCATTGCAGTAAAAGAATCCCAGTGAATTATAACTGCAATGAGAATTTGCAGTTACATTAAACAGAAAGGTTCAGGCAGTGATTCTGCTGCTGCTGCTCAGTCAGGGGCTTCAAATGCTCATGGGACATCAGGGATGTCCAGTGAGACCCTCCCTGCACCTCCTTTGGGAACCTCTTGACCACACAAGACCCACAGGCACTGTCACAGAGAGAGGTCCCAAAGATCACAGCAGCTTTACTCAGTGCTGCTCTACACACCAGCAAGGTCAGCAATCAGGCCAGGTTTTCCAGCCAGTGCAATGATCCATGTCCCAGATCCCAGTGATCCATGCCTGCAGAGGGGATGTCATCCCCATCACCAGCATCCATCAGCTCAGGTGAGACCCCTCCAGGGATTCCCTCCTGCCTGGGGCAGAGCTGGCAGCACACCCAGCCCTGTTTTGTGTGTGTTTCCTTCAGACATCGCCCCCAGCAGCACGGCCACTGTGAAGAATCTGCTCCAGCTGCTGTCAACAGCAGCAGAAACTCCCTTTAAGGAGAGAATCAGCATGTCCTGGGCTGGGCTGCCAAGTCCTGGACAGCTCCTCCAATGACATTTTAGAAATATCAGGTCAGCAAGTCCCTTCCAGAGCCAAAGCTGTCTCCTCACACCAAGCAACACAGACTAGGAGGAGTATTTCCATCCTGGAGTGTCTCCTGTGCTCCCTGTTCTGCAGGACTTCCCCAGGCACTGCTACCCTGATATGAGAGAGATAATTCCACAGCCCCCTTCTCCAACCCCATCAACTTTTTATACGTGTGGGAGGCACTTGGCCCAAGCCCAGGCACTCCAATATTTTCAGTCTGGAGAAGTTTGAGGGGAATTTGGCTCCCACAGCCATGGAGCCACATCTGAGCTGCCACAAACCCCACAAGCAGTCTGCAACACGTGGAACTTCAGATGTAATGCACCAGCCATTCATGGGTCTCACTGCTGTGGTGGGACAGCAGCTAGAGGGTCCATTTTTCCTGCAGTGATTAAATTTAGAGCATGTTGGCCTGAATTTCAGCTCTGCCCACCCTTGGCACGCCAAGCAGGGCACCTGAGGGTGAGATTGCCTCCTGCCCATCGCCTCTCACACTGCTGCTGCCAGGAATCAGGCCTTGGAGAAGCAAATGAGCGTCTTGGCATCTGTGAAAACCAGTTTCAGACACTGCTGGCCAAAAGGCAGCCCAAACCAAGAGACAAAGGACAATGAGAAAATGCAGCTCTGTGAAGATGAA